TGACCAGGATGGTCTCGATCTCTTGACCTCGTGATCCACCGGCTTCGGCCTCCCAAAGTGCTGGGATTACAGGCGTGAGCCACCGCGCCCGGCCGAGCATGGGGGTTTTAAGGGTATTATTTGTTTTGTTTTTGTTTGTTTGAGAGAGGATCTCACTGTCACCCAGGCTGGAGGGCAATGGCGTGATCTCAGCTCACTGCAACCTCTGCATCCCGGGCTCAAATGATGATTCTCTGGCCTCAGCCTCCCAGGTAGCTGGGACTACAAGCATGCACCACCATGCTTGGCTAATTTTTGTGGGTCTTTTTTTGTAGAAACATGGTTTCAACATGTTGCCCAGCGGGGTCTCGAAGTCCTGGACTCAAGTGATCCACCCTCCTCAGCCTATCTAAGTGTTGGGATTATAGGTGTAAGCCAGTGTGCCAGGCCTTAATGTTCTGATATAATGCTTAGAATGTAGGGTGGCCTCAATAAATATTTTTTTAGTTCATCTTTGGGAATAATTAAGATGAAGTTTAGGGGCAAAGGCAGCTGAACTCTCTCATTCCTCTACCTTTGAATTAAATCACTGAATTCAACACTTCTCTGAGGAGGTGGAAAAGGGCTAGGAACATTGTGGAATGAGTCCAAAGTTTGAAATGTCACTCTAACCTTCTCTCCTGGTAGGACTCAACAGTAGCCTTCCTTGAGGACCTGCCTTTCCCATTGCTGACTGAAGTTAATGTTTCTTGCTGGCCAAATCAGGGACATGCAGGCATTGTAAGGGCTGATTATCTGATCCTCTTACTAATTTATTGGTTGGGGTGGAGTGAGCAGGGAGGAATGGGATACCTTGCTTTTCTTTTATGGCTCTTTTAGCATTTCAAGCATAGCCCATATGCCTCCTTTCTTGTTGATCCTTTTTCCTATAGCTTTGTTTTGTTTCACACTAGTACCCTTATAGTTCCCTCTTATTTTTTTCATCCCCATCCCCATCCCTACCCACTGCCAGGGAGCTTGGGTTCTGATCTGATGGGGTACCCCTTTCTGCAGAGCGGGATGAGTGGGTGTTCCGGCAGGGATGTGGTCGTTGACGGCCAGTGAGGGCGAGAGTACCACAGCCCACTTCTTCCTTGGAGCTGGAGATGAGGGGCTGGGCACCCGCGGAATAGGCATGAGGCCAGAAGAGAGTGACAGCGAGCTCCTTGAGGACGAGGAGGATGAAGTGGTAAGAATGGGGAAAATGATGTAACTTGGTGTTGGAGCCTCTGTCCTAAGGAGTTAAGATTCTGTTGGTTGGAGATACCTCTCTGTTCTTTCCAAATGCACAGACTCCCTGTCATAAACAGGCCCTATCCTGGTTTAGGGGAGGAGCAGTAGAGATTGGTTAGGTTGCCTCTCTTAGAAACCCCTGCCCTGGCTGACCACAGTGGCTCATACCTGTAATCCCTGCACTTTGGGAGGCCGAGGCGGGCAGATCATTTGAGGTCAGGAATTCAAAACTAGTCTGAAAACCCTGTCTGTACTAAAAATACAAAAATTAGCTGGGTGTGGTAGTGGGCGCCTATAATCCCAGCTACTTGGGAGGCTGAGTGAGACTCTGTCTCAAAAAAAAAAAAAAAAAAAAAAAAAAAAAAAAAAAAAAAAAAAAAAAAAAAAAAAAAGAAAGAAAAGAAAAAGAAAACCCTGCCCTTAGGTTCCTCCTGTTGTCTCATGGTTGTTGGTCCTCTAGCTCTCCTGCTTGAGCACATATTTCCTACTGTGGAAAAGCTCCTTTCTGTAGGCAGTCAGAATCCTTAGCTGTGCCCCAACCTGGAGCAAACTTAGGAGGCACCCTTTATCCCCTAGGTCCAGAGTCCTGGCAAGAACCTCTGTGCCCTAAGGAGATAAGACGATGTTCCCAGAAGTGGGTGATATTGGTGGGAAGTTCTTGAGTTTCTGATAGCACTTCCTCTCTGTAGCCTCCTGAACCTCAGATCATTGTTGGCATCTGTGCCATGACCAAGAAATCCAAGTCCAAACCAATGACTCAAATCCTAGAGCGACTGTGCAGATTTGACTACCTGACCGTTATCATTCTGGGAGAAGATGTAATCCTTAATGAACCTGTGGAAAACTGGCCATCCTGCCACTGCCTCATCTCTTTCCACTCCAAAGGTTGGGGTCTGGGAAGGAAAATGGGGAGGAATGGTGGTGGGAATACTGGTTTGGGAAGTGAGGCTCTTGTTGTCTTATTTCCTTAGTAAAGAGCCGTCAGCTCCTTGTGGCATGCTAGAGAACAGTGCAAAGGAGTTTGCTTTCTGTACATCTTGGAGGAGTTGCCAGGGGTTTAAAGCCTGTATTCTAACCTCAGGACAACTCTAAGTGTCTTACGATCTCTGACAGAATTGGGTCTCTGGAAGGACTGTAAATATAATTTCTGTTTTACTTTTTCTTGATGAATATTCTAGACTTGGGGAGCTGGGCAGAAGAATAAATGATGGATTGAATGGGTAGAGGATCTCAGTGGCAGCTAATAGCTTTAACATGTTTTTCTATCTCTCTTGCTCTTTTCTCATTCTCTTTCACTCCCTTTCTTTGACCTCTTTATTTCCTGTCTCCGTTCCAGGCTTTCCTCTGGACAAAGCTGTTGCTTACTCCAAGCTTCGAAACCCCTTTCTTATCAATGACCTGGCCATGCAGTATTACATCCAAGATAGGTATAACTTCCTGTTGACCAGTAAGATGGGCGGTGTTGGGATCATGCATGTTTAGAGAACCCACTCTGGGAGGGGCCGAGTCAAACAAACATGCTTAATTTTTGTACCATAATTTTGTGCCTTGGTTTCTTTTAATCCTTGTGTAAATGAAATCCCCAGCCTCTCCCCTTAGTTACTCCCAGCTATTTTATTTGGGGGTGACAGGAGGGAGGTGTACCGGATCCTGCAGGAAGAGGGTATCGATCTGCCTCGATATGCTGTGCTCAACCGTGATCCTGCTCGGCCTGAGGGTAAGTACCTGGCCTGAGGGAGGGTTAGTCCTTCCCTTTCTTGCTTTCTATGACTTAGCCACATTTTCATCTTCTAGACATCTCCTATATACTACCTATATATGTGGGGCTTTGGTTATTGGATTATGGGTGGGATTAGAGCTATGAGTCTTTGGACAGAGCCTTGGACCTGTTATATAGAGATATTACCTCATCTATTACAAAGATATAGTCATAAAAATTTGATGGTTATAGAGATTAAAACCTGGGGAAATGACAATTAGTAATATTCTACAACTTTGCGCCATCGGAATGACCACACACCTACCTACCTTTCAGAATGTAACCTAATAGAAGGTGAAGACCAAGTAGAGGTCAATGGAGCTGTCTTTCCCAAGCCCTTTGTGGAGAAGCCAGTGAGTGCAGAAGACCACAATGTTTACATCTACTACCCCAGCTCAGCTGGAGGAGGAAGCCAGCGTCTGTTTCGTAAGGTACAGGAGATATTTGAGCATCTGGGGAGTCAGAGAGGTAGAAGGGCAAGAATGAAGTTATGGGGAACGAAGATGGAGAGTGGAGAATTTGGAGACAGAATGAAGAATTGAGGTGACATTGTTTTTTCTTCTTTTTTATCCTGAAGATTGGCAGCCGAAGCAGCGTTTACTCTCCTGAGAGCAGCGTCCGAAAGACAGGGTCATACATCTACGAGGAGTTTATGCCAACAGATGGCACAGATGTCAAGGTTATGGTGGATACAGGGATTTAAGAGGTTACAAATGTCTGGGGGTGGCAGTTGAGGTACGTGGGAAGCAGGTGGAAGTATATGGGGAGGAGGTCCTAGAAAATAACATGATGTGAATATGATTGGCTTTCATATTCAGGTGAAGATAATGAGTGGAGGATATAGACATTTCACTATCAGCAGGGGTGAGGCTGACTTAGAAAAATGGCATAATGTTAGTAAATTGTTTTTTAATAAGGACTAGATGACAGTATAGGAGTCCTGAGGAGAAACCTTCATAATGATACTTCAGTTAGGGCTCAGTAGAAAAAATGGTGGTCAGTCTCCTTCTTAATGCTCAGGATTTGTTTGTTTTGTTGTTGTTGTTGTTGTTGTTTTACTCCGAAACTAGCCTACAGACCAGTGCTCATATTGTCTTCTCATATACAGGGTGAGCTGTGGGCATACTCAGTGATGCTATGTACCTGCAGGTGTATACAGTGGGGCCAGATTATGCCCATGCTGAAGCTAGAAAATCTCCAGCTTTGGATGGGAAAGTTGAACGAGACAGTGAGGGGAAAGAGATTCGATATCCAGTCATGCTGACTGCCATGGAAAAGCTGGTGGCCAGGAAAGTCTGCGTAGCTTTCAAGGTAGAGGAGGACCCAGGGAGGTTGTGAAATGAGGGAGAAAGGAAGGAACAGGGGTCTGGGAAGAGTAACTGTCTTGTCGTCATCTTTCTGCTTTCCCTTTCAGCAAACGGTTTGTGGATTTGACCTTCTTCGTGCCAATGGTCATTCCTTTGTGTGTGATGTCAATGGCTTTAGTTTTGTCAAGAACTCAATGAAATACTATGATGATTGTGCCAAGATTCTGGGGTAAGAGACATAATGATCTATGCTGGGGAGAATGGGATGGCAGAAGAATATTTGAAAGTTTTTGCTTTGTTTTTAATATTATAAATATGATTTAAAAGTGAAAAAGGCCAGGCGCAGTGGCTTATGCCTGTAATCTCAACACTTTGGTAGACCAAGGCGGTTGGATCTCTTGAGGTTGGGCGTTAGAGACCAGCTTGACCAACATGGTGAAACCCCATCTCTACTAAAGATGCAAAATTAGCCAGGCATGGTGGCACATACCTGTAATCCTAGCTACTAGGGAGGCTGCGGCAGGAGAATCACTTGAATGCAGGAGTTGGAGGTTGCAGTGAGCTGAATTCGTGCCATTGCACTCCAGCCTGGATGACAAGAGCAAAATTCCATCTCAAAATAAATAAATAAATAAAATTTAAAATAAAAAAAGAAAAAAGAGAAAGGACTCCTTAGGCTCCTTGCCTTTTAACACTGACCCCCCAGAGACCATTGTTGTTAATGGTTTTAGACATAACAATTTGTCTTTTTCTGCCATATTCGAATTGCATTTATTTTACCAAATGTGGTCATACTATAATACTGCTCTGCAACTTGACTTCCCAAAAATTTTGTCGCATAATGTTTAAGCCTTTCAAAAATACATAAGGAATGATGACTATAGTGAGCATCTATGTATTCACCACCTGGCTTAAGAAATAAAATATTAATATAGGCCAGGTGCAGTGGCTCACTCCTGTAATCCCAACACTTTGGGAGGCTGAGGTGGGTGGATCACTTGAGATCAGGAGCTCAAGACCAGCCTGACCAATGTGGTGAAACCTTGTTTCTACTAAAAATACAAAAAATTGGCCGGGTGCAGTGGCTCCCACTTGTAATCCCAGCACTCTGGAAGGCCAAGGCAGGCAGATCACCTGAGGTCAAGAGTTCCAGCCTGGCCAACATGGTGAAACCCCGTCTCTACTAAAAAAAAAAAAAAATTAGCCAGGCATGCTGGGCAACGCCTATAATCCCAGCTACTTGGGAGACTGATACAGGAGAATTGCTTGAACCCAGGAAGCAGAGGTTGTAGTGAGCCAAGATTGTGCCACCGTACTCCAGCCCGGGTGACAATAATAAGACTCAGTCGCAAAAAAAAAAAAAGAAAAAAAACTTAGCCAGAGTGGTGGTGTAATGCTAGCTACTCAGGAGGCTGAAGCAGTAGAATCGCTTGAACCCAGGAGGTGGAGGTTGCAGTGAACTGAGATCATGCCATTGCACTTCAGCCTGGGCAATAAGAGCAACACTCTTATCTCAAAAAAAAAAAAAAAAAAAAAGGAATATAGTTGAAGCCCCTATATACTCCTCCCTGATAACATTGCCTCCCTACCTCCAGAGGGAACCACAATCCTTAATTTGGTGTTTGTCATTCCCATATATTTATTTATATTTTTTACTACATATGTATGAGTATTTGTTTGTATGTTTTTAGACTTTATATTGATATATTCTTCTGCCTGCAGTCTGCTTGTTTTTGTGAGCTTTATTCATATGAGTAGTTCTGGTTTATTCATTTTCACATGGCTTCTTCATTTCTCTTTCTAGGAACACCATAATGCGGGAGCTTGCCCCACAGTTCCAAATCCCGTGGTCCATCCCCACAGAGGCTGAGGACATTCCCATTGTTCCTACCACATCTGGCACTATGTAAGCAAAAGTAAAAAATCTGGAGTAACTTACCAAAGACACATGGAATTCCTTAAGCCAGACTAAAGGTTACTTCCTGACCCCATACTATCTGACCATCAGCGCCTGGGTCTCTTCTGCTCAGTCTTCTTAACTCCACTTATATTCCCTTTTTTTTTGAGACAGAGCCTTGCTCTGTTGCCCAGGCTGGAGTGCAGTGGCATGATCTCAGCTCACTGCAACCTCCACTTCCTGGGTTCAGGTGAGTACATCTGGCTAATTTTTGCCTTTTTAGCAGAGACAGGGTTTCACCATGTGACCAGGCTGGTCTTGAACTCTTGGACTGAAGTGATCCACTCACCTCGGCCTTCCAAAGTGCTGGGATTACAGGTGTGAACCACCATGTCCAGCTTCCATATATATTCCTAATCTCAGTTCCCTTTTCCTCTGTTTTTTTTTTTGTTGTTGTTTGGTTGGTTTTGGGTTTTGTTTTGTTTTTTTTGTGACAGGGTCTGGCCGTCTCCCAGGCTGGAGAGCAATGTTGAGTTGTGGTTCACTGCAACCTGTACCTCCTGGGCTCAAGTGATCCTCTCACCTCAGCCTCCTGAAGAGCTGGGACCACAGGCATATGCCACCATGCCTAGATAATTTTTTCTCTTTTAACTTTTTTATAGACACAGGCTCACGCTATGTTGCTCACACTCACCCTGTGCTTCTCCTGGACCTAAGTGATCCTCCCACCTCAGCCTTCCCAAATGTTGAGATCACAGGCGTGAACCCTGCCCAGCCCCTCTGTTTTTTGACATGTCAAGTAATGTGATGACAGGAGGTTAGATGGGCATATAGGAGAAGCTCTGATCACATTTATGATCTTAGGATGGAACTTCGTTGTGTCATTGCAATTATTCGTCATGGAGATCGTACTCCCAAGCAGAAGATGAAGATGGAAGTGACACACTCAAGGTAGGAAGAGTATCCTAATTTACACAAATAGGTTTTTGTGAGGAAGATTGCATGGGGGAGCAACTCCTAGAGGCTTTGACTGTCTCATCCCACACTGAAGCTTCTCATTACTTCTTCAGGTTTTTTGCTCTATTTGAAAAACATGGTGGCTACAAGACAGGGAAATTGAAACTCAAGCGACCTGAGCAGCTCCAGGTAAAGTATTGAATCTGGCCAGGAGGAGCAGTGCTATGAAAGATAGAGGATATGGCATTGGGGGTCTTGATAAAAAACTAAGATGAAAAGGTAACTGTCCAGGATTTGGCCTTCTGCATAGATACCTTATTATTTCCTCTAGGAGGTACTGGACATCACAAGGCTGTTGTTGGCTGAACTGGAGAAAGAACCAGGTGGTGAGATCGAGGAGAAGACTGGAAAACTAGAGCAGCTGAAGTCTGTATTGGAGATGTGAGAAAGGGGATAGCTAAAGGGAGCCAATAACAGTGAGAATTGGGGTGCTGGTACAGAAAATCAACTGTGACTTTATCCTGCAGGTATGGTCACTTCTCAGGTATAAACCGGAAGGTGCAATTGACTTACTACCCTCATGGAGTAAAAGCTTCTAATGAGGGACAAGGTAAGATATAGTCCCCCTTACCATTACCTCTCAAATCTTGTATTCTTTTAATTTTTTTTCCATCTTCTCTCCTCACCAGATCCCTTTTACTTAAGCCTATAGATGACCTCTACCCTAAATTACCTTTCTGGTCTCCTCAGAAGACCTAACATTTAGAAATTTCCACTGTTTTTCTTAGATCTAGACCATTCACTGCCTCTTATTCTTCAGATCCACAAAGGGAGGCTCTGGCCCCATCTCTGTTGCTGGTACTGAAGTGGGGTGGAGAACTGACTCCTGCTGGCCGTGTTCAGGCTGAGGAGCTGGGGCGAGCTTTTCGCTGCATGTACCCTGGAGGACAGGGTGAGTGTTTTGAGGTGTAAACACTTAGCAGGGCTGGGATAAAATGATTAGAGAGTAAATTGGGGGAAATGAAGGGACAGAGACAGTGGGGAAATTAGTATTTTTTCTTCCACATGAATATTTATAGCAGTCCATTCCTGGTCCTCACCTTTGTCCCCAGGTGACTATGCTGGCTTCCCTGGTTGTGGGCTGCTTCGTCTCCATAGCACTTTCCGCCATGATCTCAAGATCTATGCCTCTGATGAGGGTCGTGTCCAGATGACTGCTGCTGCCTTTGCCAAGGTGCATACTACAGTGCTATAGTCCCAGCTTCCATTAGGTAGAGAAGCAGAGAGTTTGGAGAACCAGTTGAGGATTTCAGGGTGCTTGTAGGCCAACTCAGAGAAATTTCTGCATGTATCAGACCCATTCTGTACTACTGAGAATGAGCTGAAAATAATTAGTGAGGGTAGGCCCTATCTCTTCAACCAGCTCCCATTCAATCTCCGAATGGGACCATCTAGGCCTAGGAATACTAACCTGGAAGGGAAACAGATAGATTTTGTGCTTTCCCTTTAGGGCCTTCTGGCTCTAGAAGGGGAGCTGACACCCATTTTGGTACAAATGGTGAAGAGTGCCAACATGAATGGGCTCCTGGACAGCGATGGGGATTCCTTGAGCAGCTGCCAGCACCGGGTAAAGGCTCGGCTGCACCATATTTTACAGCAGGATGCACCCTTTGGCCCTGAGGACTACGATCAGGTCAGAGTCTAAAATATCCTGGGTCTCAAATTCCTTGAATTCTATATAGTAGGGATCTATATGCAGTAAATAATAGTATTTACTGCACGCCAGGCACTGTTTTAGTTGTTTTACACATATATCTCATTTAGTCCTTACAGTAGCCCTTTGAGGTAAGTACAGGTCCACAATCTCTAATCCACAATTTTAAAAATTAAAAAGATTTTTTTTGTTGACATTAAGATTTATTTGGCAGCTAAGCCTGACAAATACTGTCGTAAGATTTTTATAATCCTGATTTTTCCCACTTAGTGTAAATAGTCATGTATTTTGTGGCAGAAATATTAATGTGTTTGGTTATGCCATAGGCCCTGATGGAGATATTATATACCTATGGCATATGTACTGTATTCTAAAGTCCAAAAAATTCTCAATTCCAAAGCACAGCTGATCCCAAGGATCCTGAACAAAAAAAGTTTCAGTTATCCATTGTTGCATAAGAAACTACCACAAAACATAGAAACCTAAAACAACCACCATTTTAATATCTCTCACAGTTCTGGGCTCAACTGATCTTGCTTGGAGTCTCTCCTGAAATTGCAGTCAGATATTGACTAGAGCTGGAACCATCTGGAAGTTCAGCTGGGATTGTGGGATGGCTGGCTCTGTCCCTCTTTATGCTCTCCCTGTAATCGCAGTGCCTCTCCTCTCCACGTGGTTCTTCATATGGTTTCTATAGCATGGTAGCTGGACAACATATTAAATGGTAGCTTTAAGAATATGCGAAAGCAGAAGCTTAGAAGCTTTCTTAACGTGTAGGCCCAGAATTAGCGCAACGTAACTTTGTTATTTTTTTATTGGTTAAGCAGTCACAGGGCCAGCCAGATTTAAGGGAAGGCAAGGAAGACAAAGAATTGATGGTCATCTTTAAACCACTATCAGAACTGCAGACCACAAGGACTTTCCTTCCATTTTACAAATGAGGAAACCTAGGCTCAGAAGAATCTAAGCAATTTTCCTGGGTCATCCAGCTAATATGAAGCCAAGGAGTCTAACTCCAAAGCCTAGGCTGTTACATTGCCTTACAGCATTAATCCTAGTATATGCTATTTCCCAATATGGTCATTCTTTTTCCTGTGTATTCAGGCTACAATTGACCAGGCAGTGGTTTTCTATCCTTCCCACTCCTCATTTCTGATAGGTTCTTTTAAAAAATGTTTAAAAATTTAAAATTGTGGTACCACTTTAACCATTTTTAAGTGTACAGTTCAGTAGCATTACATGCATTTACATTGTTGTGTAATATTTCTGATTGGTTCTTAAATGAGCTAAGTAGCTATGAGCCCATAGCATTTCTGTGTTTCTCTGTTTCCCTTCCATTTTCAAGTCTGAGTAGGACTTGATAAGGAACAGGACTTTGCTCCTTTATTTTCGAATCCGTTGCTCACTGTCAAACTCAAAAAAACTAAGGCAGTTTTCCTTTTCTGCCTTGCCTTCTTTTGCGAGCAAAAATGAAACTTGCGAGGACCTACATAGAATTGTGCATTTCAGCCACAATCTTTATTCTCTCTCCCCATTTCTCATTGATTGTGACTGTCCTAAAAGCCTGAGTTGGAACCCAGTTCTGAGACAGCATTTCTACTCTATGCTCAGGCTAGCTTGTTGTTTAGAGGAAGAAGATAATGTTATCTCTGATCTCTACTCCTGAAAACATTCTGTGGAGATTTTGAGGGATTTTGGTTTAATTATTCTGCTGTATTTTCCATGTGTATTCTAGAGCCCTCAAGAAAAGAACTTAGGACTATTTTATTTTCTCTGGACCTTTTAATTCAATCCCTCTTACATGACTATGTGCTAGAGCAGCCCCCTTACCTGAAGGCCTAGAACTGCTAGTATGCCCAGTAACCTAAGAATGCTCACTGGAGTGAATTAACATACAGATCTGTATTGCAGGTAGTCTCTGTGTAATACGCTCACAGGAAATCTGGACAATTAGTGCTGAGCCTATCGTGCGTTTCTTCTCTCTATTCTTCATAGCTGGCTCCCACCAGAAGTACTTCCCTGCTCAACTCCATGACTATCATCCAGAATCCCGTGAAGGTCTGTGATCAGGTATTTGCCCTGATCGAACACCTCACACACCAGATCCGAGAACGAATGCAGGACCCCAGGTCTGTAGGTGGGTGTGAATACTACTATCTTCCCTTCAAGGTCTCAGGTATGGATGGGTTTCTCAGGCGTTCTTGTGTCATCTCCTAAATGTCAGAGACCAGGCCTCCTCATCCCTCTGGTTCTACTTCAGAGTTGTCAGGGTCTTTTGTTTGAGGTAAAATCTTTGACTCTTACCTGATTGCTGCCTTTCTTCCAGACCTGCAACTCTACCACAGTGAAACACTAGAACTAATGCTACAGCGTTGGAGCAAGCTGGAGCGTGACTTTCGACAGAAGAGTGGGCGCTATGATATCAGTAAAATCCCTGACATCTATGACTGTGTCAAGTATGATGTGCAGCACAATGGGAGTCTGGGACTTCAAGGCACAGCAGAGTTGCTCCATCTCTCTAAGGCATTGGCTGATGTGGTCATTCCCCAGGTGTGTCTTGTATAAGGGAGTTAACCTGGGGATAAGGTGTTGGGGAAGGAAAAAGAGAAAAGGTGGAAAGGAAGGTTGATTTGGGACTAGAGGAAAGAAACTTAGAGAAGATATAAGTTGAGTTGCTATGTTTCTCAGGGTCCACTCTAGCTCTTGGTAAGTACAGGAGGCTAATTCAGGAGACACCTGGAAGAGGGGGAATATAGTGGATATGAAAGAAGCCTAGACCTGAGGTGATGACAGGCATGATCTTGGTCCTGGGAATATGAGGCATGAGAAAACAAGATTTACTGAGGTATTTATTCCTGGCCTATGGCTCCTAGGAGTACGGGATCAGTCGGGAAGAGAAACTGGAAATTGCTGTGGGCTTCTGTCTTCCATTGTTGCGGAAGATACTACTTGACCTGCAGAGAACCCACGAAGATGAGTCTGTCAACAAGCTGCATCCCCTGTGAGGGAGGGCTGGGAGGGGTGCTGGGTGGAGGGAGGGGTATGTCAGGAAGCCTTGGGGAAATCAAGCCTCCGACAGCTTGGGGAACCAAGAATAGACAAGATTTTGGGATGGAAAGGAGAGAAGTCTTTGAGGTGCGAGGAGGGGGTTTGCAGAAGGGTGGGAAGAGGGTTAACTGACTGTGTGAGTGATTTAACTGTTATCTCAGGTACTCCCGAGGTGTGCTCTCCCCAGGTCGCCATGTTCGAACACGTCTCTATTTCACCAGTGAAAGCCATGTCCACTCCCTACTCAGTGTCTTCCGTTATGGGGGTCTTCTTGATGTAAGGATCCTCTTTCTTCCTTAGCCTGTGAACAGCTTTTTCCCAGCATTGTTTTGCTCTTCTCCTCATGCTTTTTTAATGAAAGCTCTCTCCATTCTCATTGGCCTCCTGCTTATTCCCTGACTCCCTTGTCCTTAAGCAATGGCTTACTTGTTTTTGCATTTGGTAGGAGACCCAGGATGCACAATGGCAGCGAGCTTTGGATTATCTTAGTGCCATCTCAGAGCTTAACTACATGACCCAGATTGTCATCATGCTTTATGAGGACAACACACAGGTGAGGAGATGAGAGGAACACCCCTTCTTTTTACCTCTATTAAAAATAAAACAAAACAAAAAAAACCTCGCTTATCCTTATAATTTGGAGAATTGAGCTAGGTGTGGCACTTAGGAACAGCATGATGCAGAGCATCCAGGAGGTTCCTACTGGAATGGAAAATATGTTCTGGGATGGTATTGAGCAGAGAGATAATCTAGAACACAGCTCTGGCATTAGGAAGAGTATGGAATTTAGGACAATGTTATGGGTCTTATTTCCTTAAACACGGTATACATGTATCTTCCGCATACGGCTCCACAATGATACCTTTTTTTTTTTTTTTTTGAGACAAGGTCTCACTCCATCACCCAGGCTGGAGTGCAGTGCAGCAGTCTGAGCTCACTGCAACCTCACAGCCTCTGTCTCCTGGGCTCAATTGATCCTCTACCCTCAGCCTCCTGACTAGCTGGGATAACAGGCATATGTGCAGCTAATTTTTTTTATTTTTTGTAGAGATGGGGTCTCAACATGTTGCCCAGGCTGGTCTCAAACTCCTGGACTCAAGTGATTCGCCTGCCCCAGCCTCCCAAAGTGTTAGAATTACAGGCATGAGCCACTGCTCCCGGCCCATAAGATATCTTTAAGTGTTCTGCTATATGCACCATAGCCAAGCTGAGTTATCGTGGAAGGTGATGGGAAGGGTTGTAAAGCTGGAAGTTCAAAAGTCGCATGCCATGGCAAAATCACAAATGGTAGAGATGAGGGAATGAGGATCATGTAAGAGATAATATATAGTTAAAAGGAAGCTATAACAGGTCAGCCCTAGAGTAGTTCAAGACCCTGAATTCCTGGGAGGATGAATCCTCTTGAGTTCCTCTCTACTTCCACCACAAGCTTCTCCCAACTTCCCCCTCTTGTGGTGATGCCCCGTAGGATCCCTTATCAGAGGAACGGTTCCATGTGGAGCTACACTTCAGCCCTGGAGTGAAAGGTGTTGAGGAAGAAGGCAGTGCCCCAGCTGGCTGTGGATTCCGTCCAGCCTCTTCTGAGGTGGGTCAGAGTGCTGGGATTTGGGACTCAAGGACTTAGGAACCAAGTGGTGGGAAACGGTACAGGGAGAAGTAAAAAGTTTGGGTAGTTTGGGAATAGGAGCCTGGAGATCATTAACACCTCTCTTATCTGCCTTCATATTGTATAGAATGAGGAGATGAAAACCAACCAAGGCAGTATGGAGAACCTGTGCCCAGGAAAGGCATCAGATGAGCCAGACCGGGCACTGCAGACTTCACCCCAGCCTCCTGAGGGCCCTGGCCTCCCAAGGAGATCACCCCTCATTCGTAACCGAAAAGCTGGTTCCATGGAGGTAATGAGAGGACCTTGGGGAAAAATGAAGGGGTGAAAGTGCTCATAGGACTATATTCATGGATCCTCTAGATCCCCTTGGTGGGGACTCTTGGAACTTGAAGCAGAGTCCTCCTGCTCTGATTGATGTTTTACTTAATCTCTCTTTCACAGCTGGTCTCCCAATAGAGCTTCTTTAACCTGGTTGTTACTTCTCAGATTAAAGAGTTGCCATTGAAAAGTGTCTGAGAGATAAGGGTTTAAAGAGATAAGATTAAAGAGGAGGTTTCTGGATGAATTTGAAAAGGTAGTGTTCTTTAAGAGGAAATCTAGTAGAAACAGCATAAACTCTGGGCCAAAATCCCAGTGTGATACTTGGAAGCTGTGTGACTTTGGCTGGGTAACTTCTCTACACTTCTCTGGCCTTAACTTCTGTAAACCTCAATTTTTTTAACCTGTAAAATGTGAGTAGTATCGCCCTTATGGATGCTCAACAAACAGTAATATAATAATACAATTGATATTAAATTGGCCCTCTCCAGCTGTTTGTCACCTTGGGTAAACATTATAGCTCAGAGAGGAGCAAATACCTGGCACTTTAGCTGTACTGTTGTTCCAGAAAGTGGGTCAGTCTAGAGCTCTGTCTGTCTTTTGTTCTAATGAGGATCTTTGTCAGCATGGGCCTGTGTTTTGTTGTTTTTGGAGTTTGTCTCTAGTTCTCGTCCTAGTTCTCTAGCTTAGAGGAAGGAAGTGTTATTAATCTCATATCATGTCCAGCTAACCAGCTGAAGTTTTTGTTTTGGTCTTTTTCCTGGAAGAACTGTTTCTGTCTTTGGCCCAATTACATCCCTTTTTTCCCCCCCCATCCAGTTCCTTCTGTATCACTTTCATTCTTGTTGACACCACAATTTATCCCTGTTTCAGAGACTTTGACTATCTGATTTGGATTCTACTCTGACCTGAGGACTCTGGTCACCTGGCTCTGTGCCAGGTCTCTATCCTAGAGGAATTGGTCTTTCCATTTTAGGGATATATCAGAACAATCTATAACTAGCTTATCTAGTTCGGCAAAAGGTTTGCAATTCAGATTTTGGAGAAAGCTGAGAAGATAAACTGCAGTCTCTTCTTTTGATTCACTCTTTACTTCTGGATTATTTTAAGGTGAAATTGACATTGGTAATATACAGAGTTTCTTTAGGTAGGATATGCATTATTTTCTCCTTGTGGTGTAGGTATAAGTTGGTATCTGTAGTACTCTATTACCCTTTATACTCATATACTCATATGGATAGAATGACACATAATCTTCCATCTGTAAACTGCTCCTCCAAATGTCTTTCCTATTCACATGGTCTGCTAGTCTCTCCTAGGGCTGTTGTGCTTGAAGCCCCTTTTTCTGGTTTATGCAGTCATAAGACATAGGCACCTGGGTATGGTGGATCACACCTGTAATCCCAACACTTTAGGAGGCCTAAGTGGGAGGAGGCCAAGAGTTCGAAACCAGCCTGGGCAAGATCCTGTCTCTACAAAAATTTTTTAAAAATTTAAAAAAGGAAGGCACAGACAAGGGAAAGCTCTCTGTGTATCATCTCTCAGACTTGATAAGATTGACTTCTTTCTTTTAGGTCTATAGGAATTTTCCTATTGTAATCACATTCCTTCTTTTCAGTTACTAGTGCTGCTTAGACTGGCTTATCCAGGGTGGTAGTTGTCCAGGATATTTTCCTCAGCTTTTTAAGAAAATCATCTCTCTGCTCCTTGGTCACAAAGCCTTATAGTACTAATATTAATATTTCTCTTTCTTGCTCTATAAGTGTAGGCATTGGGCTGTCTTATCCTTATCAACTACATCCTTCCCCCATCCCTTCTTTTCTCTTGTCATCTCATATTTTTTAACTATTTTAGATTATAAAACCCATGACCTTCATAACATCTATACCCTAGCTGGTCATCCTCTCTAGCCCTGTAATTAGCTCTGCCCTATGGGCACTGGGGCTTTTGGGAGCCTGGGGTTTAAAGGAGCCGTGACCGGCTTTTCACCCGGTCTGATTGCAGGTCATGAACATGCAGTGCACGGGGAACCTGGACCTGATCCCCTTGCGGGGACGGCGCCGCAGGAGGTCAGGAGACCTCCCCCGGCCTTCCCCAGCCATCGGCCTGCAGCCCTGGGCTGTGTCCACCACTCACCTGGCGTCCTGCACACAGGTGTCCCTCCCTACCTCACCCTCTTGTTTTGCTTTTTGGGATCTAGAAACTCAGACACTATCTAGGTTGGGATGAGTGTGTGTTGGGAGTTGTGTGATTGGGCCCTTGTGGGCATTTTAAGAATTGTATTTCATGTTTCTAGGAGTGAGATAGTTGGAGGGGAGGGATTCCTTCTTGGTTCAAATAAGAAATGTAGTATAGTATGTAGTATGGTTACAGTAGCCTCAACTGTTCCACAGAAAGAAGAGAGGGTGGCCAGACTTTCTTATTTGTGGCTGAGCCATTGTGATTGGCTTTCTGAGTCTGGTTGGGGGATAGACACAATTAGGAAACTCCACTCTATTGATAACTAGGAATGGTTGAATAATTATTTCTCAAACTCAGATTGGGAATGGGAGGGCTGTGGGGGCAGGTATCTTGAAAATAGAAGTGTTTTCTAGTATAGAAGGATTCCCTGATAGTTCCCTCCATAAAGTATATTCTCTATTCCCTTTTCATCCCTCTTCCCCTGTAAATCTTTTGGTTCTTCCAAACTTTCTGACATTGCTTGGCTTTATAGGGGCAAGAATTCAGGACCTGGGCTTTATACTTCTGGGTTGAGGTGGCAAAATGATTAATATAGAGTCCTTTTTCTGCAGGTACTTTCTGAGACTTCATCCTCAAGGCCTGGTGGCTACCGGCTCTTTTCAGCTTCACGGCCACCCACAGAAATGAAGCAGAGTGGCCTAGGTATGCTTTTTTCCAGCATTTCTCATCTATTTTTGGAAAAATTGTCTGTCTGTTCTTCAGAGTTTTATTGTGGGAAACCTTTGTCATGGGATTTGGGACCATCCAGTCAGTGGAATATCGGCGGGGGGGGGTGGGTAGGGAGGATGAAGTGGGATCATCCATAGTTAGATGTGAACTTGGATCTCAGATAATTGTTCCATCCCAGGAGGGTGTTTATCTCTTGGTTTTCTATACCAACGACATTTTCCTGGTCAAAGGGCATTATTTTGGCTTTCCCTCTCATTCCTTATCTGTCCCTTCAGTCTAGCCCAGACATTAAGGGGCCATGGAGACTCTGAACCTTCAGAGTTATCAGGGACAGAGCTATAAACGGAGGTACTTGCAACCTTCATAAATATCATATTCCTCATTTGAAGAATTGTGCCATGTCTTTCCCTGAAACCTGTGTTTTTCATATCCCTGCTCTTGCCCTTCCTACCACCTTGTCCTTTCCTCCATCATCTCCTAATCCTGTAACTTTTTCCCCTTCCTTCTGAGACTGGTGTAGTGGCAGAGGCATCTCTCAGGACTTTGAGGAAATATCTCTTGATTTTTTGATCCCTGGAAAGGGGTAGAGAACATCATTCAGCATTTGATAAGAACACAGACAGCAGGAAGGACCAAGCCTCAGAGGGTATTGTATTCTTTGGGTGGAGGGGGGCGGTCCTTGGGAGGAGCTATCTCTGAGCACAGTGCCTTGTGAGCCAGCAACTAGAACTGGAGGTCAGAGATGATTGTGTGGGGTCTGGACTTGGTCCCCTGGCTCTTTGTATCTTGTCCTATTATTCTATTTAGCGCCTCTAATTTTTCTGTTGCCTTTGTACTCGGGACCCAATTTCTTGGCCCCAAAATGATCAGGTTTTGGACCAGCAAGGGGAAGAAAGGTTTTGTTAACTTCCCAGGCTAATTTTATGAGAACAAGTTGCCTTCTAGATTCCTGAAATGAGGAAGATGGTTTGGGTCATGAGAAATAAATGACAAATGTGTAGATCCGGCCAGGCGCAGCAGCTATAATCCCAGCACTTTGGGAGGCCAAGGCAGGCAGATCACTTGAGTGAGGTCAGGAGTTCGAGACTAGCCTGGCCAACATGGTGAAACCCCATCTCTACTACAAATACAAAAATTGGCCAACACGGTGGTACATGCCTTATAATGCCAGCTATGTGGGAGGTTGAGGCACGAGAATTGCTTGAACCCGGAAGATGGAGTATGCAGTGAGCTGAGATTGCGCCACTGTATTCCAGCCTAGGTGAGACTCTGCCTCAAAAAAAAAAAAAAAGTAATCTAGATCCGTGACATGGACCTGTCTTCCCAGAAGTCCCAGTAAAGAATAGGTTTCAGATAGACTAGAAACGAGGATAGGTGTGTCTAGGTATCAGATAGACTAGAAATGAGGATAGGTGTGTCTGGCCCAGTTAAGTGGGCCATGGGAATGCTTTCAAGAACAAGGCAGAATTATGGACATGGAACTGGTTGACAGATGGTAGTGGTAAGGTAGAGACCACCCTCTGAGGTGATCTGAGGACTGGGCAGAGCAGAGTTGGCACGACTGCACCAGAAAAGTATTCAGTGGAGGAAGTGTATGTAGGACAAAGCTTGGGGTGGTCTGGGATACAGCCAGCTAGTTTTAGCTTCTCTGAAGAAAAGCAGTCATATTTAGCAACTGTTATTACTCTCTGGAATCTCATTCCAGAGCCTGTTTGAGCATGAAAGGTAGAGGAAGTTGCTTTATAGAGGAGAGGACCTGAATTCCAGCATGGAAATCATCAGCTATCTGAACTTCCTGATCGTTCTGGTGACCCTGAAATCCTGGGACCCCGAAACCATGGTCCTTTCTTTGTGGTCTCAAGGAGAATTGACCTCCTTTACACTCTATCCATTTCCTCTATGAATGTTAAGTCCCAGACCAAACCCAGGGTCTTGGCTAAGATGGATTTGGAAGTAGAGGGGCAAATCCAGAGAACTTGGGTGTCAGTCTTGTTTATTCTTTATTCTTGGCCACTCTGTCCTTATAGGCTGTAGTAGGAAAAGGGACCATGGAGTCCTAACCCTCCTCTAGATCAGCTGTTGGGGACAGCGACTGGTATGATTTATTTCCTTCAGAGATTATTCAAATTTTATTTAATCCTTTCATTGGCAATGGAGTTCTTTTTGCTTTCTTTGAATTTATATGTATGGGGAACTGGCTTTGAACATAGGCTGACAAGACAACAAGCAGAAAAAACATGTCTTTTTGTTGTTGTTTCCTGTATTCCTTCTTAGTAGGTGCTCATCACATAATAGGCATGCTCTACATATAATCAACTTACTCTTCACATGCCCTTCAATTTGCATCCATCTTGACTTCAGAAACTGTGCTGGTTCCTAAAAAATAGTTATTTACTTTCTAACAGTACAGTTGGTCCTCAGAGTCAGGAAACCTGGATTCTACTCCAGCTTAGCCTCTAACAGACTGTGTGACCTTGAGTAAAGGAGGTCCCTTTTGGATCTCAGTTTCTTCATCTCTAAAATAAGCAAGTTGGACTGCATGATCTGAGTCCCTTCTAGCTTAAAAATTTCAATGAGGTAGAGGGCTGTGGCTCACGCCTATAATCCCAGCACTATGGGAGGCCAAGGTGGGAGGATCAATTGAACTCAGGAGTTAGAGACCAACCTGGGCAACATAGTGAGACCTCGTTTCTACTAAAAATAAAAAAAAATTGTCCAGGCATGGTAGTGTGCGCTTGTGATCCAAGCTACTCTGGAGGCTGAGGTGAGAGGATCACTTGAGCCTGGGAGATCAAGGTTGCAATGAGCTATGATTGTGCTACTACACTCCAGCCTGGGCAACAGAGTGAGACTCTGTCAAAAAAAAAAAAAAAATACTGTGAGTCTTATACTTTCATTCTTGGGAAAGGTAAAAAGGCCTGAAGGGAAGGGATGTTGGATGAATAAATTAGGAAGGATTGGAAGGGTGCCAGGTGAGTGCTCAGAACCCAGTCTCTAGTTTCAGTCAAAGCCTTTTCCTTTCAAATCTACAAGGACTAGATTTCTGTGTTTCTCAAGCCATATATCCAGGGTAAGGGGTGCTGAATTAAATCTAGGGGGAATCTAGAGGGAGCTATTATTTTAACATTTCTGAGAGTCACCTGGAGAGCAGTCTGTCCCTTTCAGTAGCTTTGAATTCCCTAATATGACTAACCCTGTATTTGTAGTGGCCTCTTGTCTCTGCCATGTAGCTCTTCAGAAGAATCCCCCTTTTGCTTGCCCACTGTGACTATGGACAAGTATAAAGCCATTTGTGGTTATGTGGAATAGCCACATGGTGGTGGCTGTGAATGGCTGTGTGTGTGTCTTGATGTTATCATGTGAAGTTGTGTATACTTCTGTATGATAGTTGCAGCTTTATGTGGCTACTAATGCCCTCCCGGCCTTGCAGGCTCACAGTGCACAGGGCTGTTCAGCACCACAGTGCTGGGTGGCTCCTCCAGCGCCCCGAATCTTCAGGACTACGCCCGCAGCCATGGCAAAAAGCTACCACCTGCCAGTCTGAAGCACCGAGATGGTATGTGGGTGGGTTTTGGGGGATAACTGCTTTCTTCACTTGTCTCTCAGCAAGGACGTAGCTCAAGAACTATTCATGCTTAAAGATGACACTGACCTTATAACAAGTTTTCTTCATCAGTAATAGATGAGAGAAGGAACCAGGACCCCTTCCATCCCTCCATTTGCATTCCCTCTTGCCATAAAAATACTACTTATTTATGCTTATCCCTTCATAATCTCCCACATACAGTTCTGCTGCATCAGTTTGTACTCTTTACTGGATTCTGGCCTGTAGGGGTAAGGACCAAAGAGGATGATGCATGGTTAGGAAGAATGTAGTGGAACCTCGATTAAAACCAGGAAATTGGGTTTAGGGAAGGGAATATTGCTCAGCTAAGGCAGAAAAGATAATATGGAAAGAGTCTGGGGGAAGGGATGAATATTTCTATGAAGATTTTATTTCTGAATGACCAGAAAGAGGACATAGTAGTAAAATTAGGGTTGTTTGTAGAAATGTATTGTGGTAGAGATGACTACATAGATTCTTAGGAGATTACCAAAGGAAAAGAGATTGACGTGTTAGAAATCCAAGGGGTCGGGAGGGGAGCAGATCAGATAAATAACTTTAAAGAACAGAATATCTTGCGGGCAAACTCCAGAGCAGAGGGTGGGGACAAGGGTGGGTATAATCCCCATGATGTCTTTTCTCCCCAGAGCTCTTGTTTGTCCCGGCCGTAAAACGATTTTCTGTGTCGTTTGCAAAGCATCCGACTAACGGTACGTTTGCTTCTGACTCAATGTCATTCCTCCTCACCATGTCACCTGTAGACACTTAACTGAGTTTTGACACTGACTTTGCCTCTCCTTCCACTGTGTTGATACCTTGCTGTCTCTGAATGAGCCACTCACTAAGTGTCCCTCCTGGGATGGTTTCCTTGTGACAGCCTTAGTCTTGGCTGTAGCCTGGCTGCCCCATCCCTGTGGCAACTCAGGGTCTTACTTCCATAATCACCATCATCACCATTATGTTGCTTTTGTCAGCATCACCACCAAAACACTGATTAAACCTCTCCCTTTCCTATCACATGACTGCCAGGCTGTGTACAGATATGATGTTTCCCCTTCTTAGGATGGAAATAATGTTTCCTAGATTGATTCCATTTCTTTTCTTCCCTCATACCCCTAACTCCTCAGCTTATATAATTTTGATCTTTCTGGTTTTTCTCCAACTCTTTTGTTGGGGTGGATGTGGATGACTAGTTTGTTCCTCTTTGGAGCAATGCTGCAATTCCCAGCTCCTAAGCCTACTTATAAGGGTGTTGGTCTTGAGTATACAGTTTCCCATCTCCATATTTATTTCTCCTGCCATTGTGTGTATTTTATGTGGCTCTTGTGCTCCTGACATTTGCTTTATGTTACTACTAACCTAGTGCCTGGGCCTCAAAAACAAGAGCCCAGGTTGCTTTGGGATACAAGAATAAAAAGAAAGGAGTAGGAGGTAGTAGGTAAAAGAAAAAGGACTGTACCTTGAGTTTTTAAAATGTGGTTTCCATGTGGCACCAGCCTACCTATGGTAAAGCTATCGCAGAGAAGCTTGAAGAGTTGAGATGTCTGCTGGGGATGCTGGGGGAGCTTAGGAATGAATAATATTTTAAGAACATTGAAGAACTGGGTCTGCCCACACTAAGGTGGGAGAGTTTGGAGATCTCTATAAAGCATGAACTGAAGGGTATGGTCACTTTGTAGGGTATTGCAGGAGAACCCAGGCTCACTCTCTTTCAAAGTTTTATCCTTGGTATCCTTAGTTGTTTTCTCTCTGTATTGTATTTTGTCTTCAAGGCAAATCTAGGTTTTTTTTTAGAGATAGTTTTCTTCTATTCAAGAGCTAAGACTCTCTGAGGGAAGTAAAATTAGGCTGGCTTACTGACTAGAAAACCTCTATGTGCTAATCTCCTATTGTCTAGCAAGTGGCAGCTGCTAGATTTTAGCCCAGTCAGGTTGTACATCTCATAAGGCACTGCTCAAATCTCTCCCTAGGTTGACCAGTCTACGCTGGTTCAGTTTATCTCTGCCCCCAGGCTCCCATTTGTGCCTGTGGCAGGAGTCCCCTTTCAGAGCATCATGGGTGTGCCTGTTCATTTAGCTTCAAGCTCTTTTGGCCTTCATGTGCCACAGCCATCTCGAGAATACAACCTGATGCATCAGTAGCACAGCCTGGAACTTGGACTTAGAGTCCACAGTATAGTATGAGGAATGTGGGCTCCTGAAATCCGAGCAAATCACATATCTCCTGGTTCTTAGGTGCCATAAGAAAAGACCCAAATCCATAAAACAGATCTTCAGACCCATATATCTCCAGTTCCCTGAAGCCTTGTTTAGCAGCCTCATCTGTTGAAGAAGAATTAATTCTGCCAAAAGGAGGAGAGAAAAAAATTACCTGGAAAATGCAGGTATTATGCAGGAAAACAAATTTAAGATCTCCAGTACCCTGCATACTTCCTCGGGGGTCTTCTGGCCTCCTTTGTTTTGCTTATGCTGGAGCTTGGAGGCTAACATGCTTAATAAGCAAGAATCTGGGCTCTACCTATTGACAACAGGAGAAATTTGGAGTTGTATGTCACTTGCTAAGGAAGATTATCTAGATTCAGTTTGACCCTCAAGAAATATGAAGGCACTCCTCCATGGCCAAGATCTTGCTTGACTGACCAGCAATTATAAAGTGGATGTTTTGTCTGTAGTTGCTTTTGGCAGATTAGTCAAGCAGGTCCATCATCACCATCTCCTTGCCATGATATTTGGCTTTGAAACAGCAGCTGGAAATACTGGACCTGGCTTTGGAAAGGAGGCAAGGCAGTGTGTCTCCACACTTTGATGAGAGAGCAGCCCTCCTCCTATCCCTGCCTCTGTTCTGATGAGCTGTGACTATATCCAGCACACCAGTATAGCCTGTTACTAAACTGCACGTTGAACTCACCAAAGTAAATTAGCAAAGTGGTAAAGACTGTGGCTCACCCTCATCCAGAATGTCAGTGTGTGCCCACTAGATTTGTCAAGCCCATTATCTTTTAGGAACCCATATAACTTTGTGACCATTGGTACATACAGTTAGTACTCTCAAGACTAGCTTAGGTACAGCTGAAGTCTCTCCTGACATCCAAGCTAAGGTCTCTGACGACCACATGGGATCACCTTGTGAAGCCACTTCTGGAGTTTGGAGCAGTCATCCTCAGCTACCTTGATTCTACCTTCTCTATACCAACATCCTGTACTCAAGTTCTTGTCCATCCTCACATCATGTTTTAAGATCCCATAACTTTTCTGTAAGATCTTTCTCTATTGTTCCTCTTATAGCCCTCTCCACATGGCTTTGGCTGCCTTCAACCTTTTGTAGCTGAATTACATGCTTCCACAAAGTTTGCCAAGTAGCTAAAATGAGGGGTTCAGAATCAAAGCTTTTTTACTCACCAGCTGAAAAAAGTACAGTTAGACTCACCAGCAGTGGGAAGAAAATATAAAATTATCTAACTTTCAGCTTCTGTAATGGATATCGTATCTCCTAAGTCCTAAGTTTTATGTATACTTTTTAAAAACTAATTGTTTAAACAAGAGTAAGGTAAAGGATGGTTAGTCAATGTTGGTATTTTCACATATTGATTCCATTTTTTTACACGTACCCTTTTAAAGGAGTTCTACACCTGGTCTCCTGCCAGTCTCCTGTGCTATCTGCCTAATACCATCCCTGTCTTTGGCTATCCTAGAGTCTGGTCCAGAAGGCCTGCCCTTAAAAAGAGCCTTTTTAGCTTGACTGTCTTTTTAAAAATTATTATTATTTTTAATTTTTTTATTTTTTATTTCTTTCTTTTCTCTTAGCTTGACTATCCTGATACTCAGTATCATTCTTGACACTTTTCTCTGAGTGACTGAACTTTTCCTTTTTATCCCTACTTCATAAATCCATTCACCTGAGAATGCAGGCCCTAAGTAGGGTTTATCCAATGATGAGGAATCCTGAAGCTGTAGTCAAGGCTCCCAGCCACAAAGCTGCCAGCTCACCCCTGTCCACAATGATGTGACTGCTGTCTACAAGCACCGACTAAATTATGCTCAAGGAGGAAGGGGAGGGCATTGCTATACGATGAGGTCTCACTATCCCTTCTTTCAGACTCATTGTGTGATGACACTACTCTTCTTCCCTGCAAGAGATGCCCAGTGGCTCTGACCATCTCTGCTTCTCTCTTAGCTGACCTTGGATCTGAGTGCCCCCACCTCCCAGTAATGCTTGTGCTAGTCAGTGCCCCCCTCATTGTCTCTCCCTCTTCTTTTTCTCTATCTTTGTGCTTCCTGCCGTGGTCCCCTCACCCCCTCCAGAGCTGCTGGATGACCAGCACCCTGTGGTCCGGTTGCTGCGCAGTTTTTCCTCTGACTGTACAGGGGGCCGGCCAGTCTCCTTGGATGCCACGCTGGCGCATCACCTGCACCAGTGCTCCTACCACCTGCGCCTCTTCCGGAACTGGCTGCGCTCAGGCCAGGATGACCCCGAGTGCCTCTACGGTACCCCCTGCCACCAAGCTGGCTGCTGCCACTACCCTGGCTGGGACTGACTGCTTTGCTTATTGCACTTCTGGCAGGAGAGCCCACCTGTTTCTTTCTCCTATTTGCCTTAAGGTTATGTAACTTGCATTTAGTTGCTTGGATGGGATTGGGGCTGGACTGCCTGGTAGCTGTAGCATTGGCTGCTCATCCCCTTCCTATTCTCCTTTCTCACCACCCCCTAATGTTACTCATTCCCCAATTCTGTTCAATACAGGAGTAATCTCTTGCCTTGGAATCTGTTCTTACCACTCTAACCCTCTACTACCACCATCTCCAAGTCCAAATGTTTTTCTAGCCACCCTGAGGAGCTAGAGACAATATCTCTCCTGCCCTCCTCCCACTAGATCTCAGGGGAAATTGAGGCACAGAGGCCTCAATTGTATCCTTGGGGCAAACAAAGGCCAAAAGTTAGAAAATGGTCAAGTATAATCCTTTTGAGTTACGGGTTTTAGTCACTGGTGAACAGGAGGCTATCTTGCATAGACATTGTTGTCCCGCCTACCCTTAGTCCTTTTAAGGAGATGTTGAGGAGGCATAGGAAAGATTGGGGACTGAGAAAGTGGTTGGAATGTGTGTTTCTTGATCCTCCAATGGAGACATTTTTTTCCATCACCAGTCCCTAGTATTCAGGTTACGTATTTATGTTTACCCTTGACCCTACCCAGATTGATAGACCTACATTGGAATTCTTGGGTTTAGAGCAGAGAATCAGCAGAAAGATCTTAGCAAGTCTGGGGTTTTCTAGTAGATCAGAAGGGTGAAGCTTTGCTGTGATGGAAATTACCAAGAAAGAACTTCCATCCCCATCCTGTTCATGCATGTGGTTTTCCTGGGCTGAGCTTCATGTGTATTGCATGTCCTCCAGTTTGCATCCAAGTATTCTAGCCTTTCTACCCATATCCTAAATTTGCATGAACTCCTTCTCAGATTTCATGTCCTTCTCCTTAATCTGGTTCTCTTATTCATGATACCCAAAATCTGCTGTTTCTTCCCAGCTCCCTATCTCATGTTAGATCTGCAGTTTCACTCCTTATCTCTGGATCCTTGTTTTATTCCTCCAGAAAGTATGAGAGCAATGTTGGTGCTTACCCTACTGGGATTGTGTTGATTTTTCCATGGAACATTACAGGCTCTCCATAGGTAGCATGAGAGGTGATTTGATTCACCTGGAGACCTTAGCAGGTAGATGTTTTAGGAAATCTGGAGGTGAGAAAAACAGACTCCCCTAGGGGCTCTAAAGAGTTCCCTCTCCTAAGAGTCTTGGATACCCCACACTCCAAAAGCCACGGACTCTCCTGATGGCTCTCAGGGACTCTCCATGCTTCCTTGGCCAGTTGGGGTATATCTGGCAGGAATAACATTGACTTTGCCCATCTCTTTTCAAACAGGATTTGAAGGGTGTTCCATGGTGCCTACCATCTACCCTCTGGAAACACTGCATAATGCCCTTTCCCTACGTCAAGTGAGTGAATTCTTGAGTAGGGTCTGCCAGCGCCACACTGATACCCAGGCACAGGCATCTGCAGGTATGGATATTTTTATTTTGTACCTTTCTCTCTTTTCCTATTCCCATGTTTCCTAGAATATAAGAAAGTAATAAATTAAAAAGCTAGTTAGGCAGCCCACAAAGACACAAAAATACACTTAAAAATGTATAATTGCTGGCCAGATGTGGTGGCTCATGCCTATTATCCCAGCACTTTGGGACGCCAAGGCAGGTGAATCACCTAAGGTCAGGAGTTTGAGACCAGCCTGGCCAACATGGTGAAACCCTGTTTCTACTGAAAAAAAAAATACCACAATGAGCTGAGCATGGTGGTGTGTTTCTATAGTTCCAGCCATTTGGGAGGCTAAGGTGGGAGAATTGCTTGAGCCCAGGAGGCAGAGGTTGCAGTGAGCCAAGATTGTGCCACTGCACTCCAGCCTGGGTGACAGAGACTCCATCTCAAAAAAAAAAGAAAAGGATAATTGCATAGGCCAACTAAACATCATAAAAATATCACTCCTTTCTAAGGTAATTAATTTAACATGATACCAATAAAAATATGGTTTTTCTAAAATCAAACATATCAGTTCTGAAATTTTCATTGAAAAACAAGCAAGCACAGTGAAGAATGAGTTGGATGTAGTGGCTCACGTTTATAATCCCAGTGATTCGGGAGGCTGAGGCAAGAGGATTATTGAGGCCAGGAGTTCAAGACTAGCCTGTGCAACATTGTGAGATCCCCCCCATCTCTCCGGAAAATAAAACAAAAGCTAGGCATTGTGGTATGTGCCTGTAGTCTCATCTACTTGGTATGTTGAAGTAGGAGGATCACTTGAACCCAGGAGTTCAAGGCTGCAGTGAGCTATGATCATGCCACTGCCCTCTACCCTGGGTGGACAGAGCAAGATTGTACCTAAAAAGAGAGAGAGAAAAAGAGAGAGAGAGAGAGAGAATGAGAGAGAGAGAGAGAGAAGTGAAGAAAACCCTGAAAAGAAGAACAATGAGCAAATACTAGCCCTACCATATTTTAAAACATTCTATAAAACATCATTTTAGTTTTGATCTTTGCAATCCTAGCTCACTGCAGCCTGGAACTCCTGGGCTCAAATGATCCTCCTGCCTTGGTCTCTCAAAGTGCTGGTATTACAAGTATGACAGACTTTTTTTTTTTTTTTTTTGAGTTAGAGTCTCACTCTGTCGCCCAGGCTAGAGTGCAGTGGCACAATTTCAGCTCACTGCAACCTCTGCCTTTGGTGTTGAAGCAATTCTCCCTGCCTCAGCCTCCCAAATAGCTGGGATTACATGCATCTGCCACCATACCTGGCTAATTTTTGTATTTTTAGTAGAGATGGGGTTTTGCCATGTTGCCCGGGCTGGTCTTGAACTTTTGATCTCAGGTGATTCATTTGCCTCAGTCTCCCAAAGTGCTGGGATTACAGGTGTGAGCTACCACACCTGGCCAGAAAGACTGTTTACTAAATAGACTGGGGATAATTGAATAGCCATTTGACAACAGTTAAAATTGAACCTACACTATATACCATGACAAACTCCATATGGATCAGAAATCTAAATGTAAAAATTAAATCATGTATTAGATACATGACTTATCTAATCTAAAGGGCTTGTTGATTCACAGAAACACCAAAAAGTAAGCAAAAACTATCAGAACCAGCATTGTCAGAACTCTGGAGAATAGTCAAAGATTTGCAGAAACTAGGAAAATGCTGAATCCAGAAAGAGGCAACCTAAAAATGGCAGAAAAACTTTGCAACATTATTTACTCACCCTTGTCCCACCCTGCCTCCCTGGCTTGGTTGTGCTTTTGAAGATGACAGCCCATGTTGTCGATGTGGGAACCTGGTACCAGGTTCCAGAGGGAGCAGAGAAGACCCTATTCTCAAAGAATTTTGTCTTTTCTAATCTGTTGGTGGGCTGCTTAAAGGACTGACACAAGGTACCTACCTTTGTTTTGCCTAACTTTAACTTGCTCAGGGCAGAAAAGTGGCTGTGCAGAGAACATGCCTTAAAAACACTGTAAGGCAAGTGAACAACCTGTGCCCAGCCTCAGGATGTATTTTGTTTTTTTTTTTGTTGTTTGAGACAGAGTCTCACTTTGTCTCCCAGGCCATAATGCAAGCGATTCTCCTGCCTTAGCCTCCCAAGGAGCTGAGACTACAGGCACATGCCACCCCACCCAGCTAATTTTTTATGTTTTTAGTAGAGACAGGGTTTCACCATGTTAACAAGGATGGTCTCAATCTTCTGACCTCGTGATCCACCTGCTTCAGCTTCCCAGAGTGCTGGGGTTACAGGTGTGAGCCACCACACCTGGCCAGGAGGCACTTTTTTTTTTTTTAATTTTTGAGATGGAGTTTTGCTGTGTTACCCAGGCTGGGATGCCACCCCGACTGGCTAATTTTTATATTTTTAGTAGAGATAAGATTTCACCACGTTGGCCAGGCTGGTCTTGAACTCCTGATCTCAGGTGATCTACCCACCTCAGCCTCCCAAAGTGCTGGGGTTACAAGTGTGAGCCACCACACCCGGCCAGAATGCACTTTTAAAAGTGTCCACAAGAGACTCACTTAATTTATTTTTTTAAAGTTGAATTAGTTTATTTTCTGATTTGCAATTCTTAAATGTTTTGATAGAAAATTGAATATTTCAGTAAATATTTTAAGGCTGGGTGCGGTGGCTCACGCCTGTAATCCTAGCACTCTGGGAGACTGAGGTGGGTTGATTGCCTGAGTTCAGGAGTTCAAGACCAGCCTGGGCAACATGGTGAAACCCTGTCTCTATTAAAATACAAAAAATTAGCTGGGCATAGTGGCATGTGCCTGTAGCCCCAGCTACTCACGAGACTGAGGCAGAAGAATTGCTAGAACCTGGGAGGTGGCAGTTGTAGTGAGCTGAGATTGCACCACTGCACTCCAGCCTGGGCAACAGAGTGAGACTCCGTCTCTAAAAAAAAAAAAAAAAAAATTAAAAAACAAACGAAAACTCAGCTGGGCGTGGTGGTGGCTCACACCTGTAATCCCAGCACTTTGGGAGGCTAAGGCTGACAGATTGCTTGAGTTCAAGATTTCAGGATCAGCCTGAGCAACGTGACAAAACCCCATCTCTACCAAAAAAAAAAATTAGCCAGGCATGATGGCATGCACCTGTGGTCTCAGCTATTTGAGAGGCTGAGGTGGGAGGATCTCCTGAGCCTGGGAGGTTGAGGTTACAGTGAGCTGAGATTGTGCTACTGCACTCCAGCCTGGGTGACAGAGTGAGACCCTGTCTCAATCAATCAATCAATAAAATAGAAAACTCCAACAGGCCGGGCGCGGTGGCTCAAGCCTGTAATCCCAGCACTTTGGGAGGCCGAGGCAGGTGGATCACGAGGTCAAGAGATCGAGACCATCCCGGTCAACATGGTGAAACCCCG